TTATGTATATAATATTAGTAGAATGAATCTTCTGCTGAAACATGGAACCATACACCGCCATATGCTATGTCTTTTGTGCATGTGGTGAGTAGTGGCGCAGACCCCACTGTACGTATTTGTAACAAAACAAAAACAAAAAAAACGAGAGAGCTACGGGCATCTTCATCCTCTCTCCACCACTCACCAAATGCATAACATTAGAATGAATCTTCTGCTAAAACATGGAACCATACACCGCAATATGCTATTTCTTTTGTGCATGTGGAGAGTAGTGGAGCAGGCCCCACTGTACGTATTCGTAAGAAAACAAAAACAAAAAAAGAACGAAGAGCTACGGGCATCTTCATCCTAACCCATAACTACAGACATGCAGACCTGAACGCCAACATTCGGCATATATTGGTGGTCGGCTGCCCGTGGAATATGCAACTTGTGCCTTCTGCGAGGCTTCGCGGGGCAGGTCGTTGTTAGGCGCCTACCCCTTTCTTGCGAAGCTAAGTTAGCTAACCCATCATTGTGTGGGATTTGCAGAAGGGAGGGGGAAGCTCAGTTTCCATTCCCCGCCAAAAAAAAATTGGAATGAGCCCTATTTTATGCTTTGCCGTTTTGGAACTTTTGGGGGCAGGGCCCGCTGAAATTGAAATTTGGCAGCCCTTGCCCCCAAAAAATTTCGAGCTGGGGGCGCGGCCGGTTTCCGAGCTCGCGCGGTGAGTTTAACATTTTTGCCGAGTTGGGGGCCCTAAGGAATGACAAAACCCCTGCTTTTTTTTTTTTTTTTTTTGAACCTAATTTTTCCAGTGCGCTGCGCTTCGGTGCGCTGTGCGGTGCGGTGCGCGCCGTGCGCAATTCGTGCGCAAACCCGCGCACCGAGGTGCGCCGCAACTTAGGCTGCTGCCCTCAAGAGTGGGCACCAAGCACTGCCCCACAACTGATACCCTGAGATGCGCACCAGCAACTGCCCTCAAGGGTGCCTGTGACGAAAATCAAAAGCAGATTATCACTCACCCACAACAGAAAGGAGGCTCTACAGACTGCACGTTCACTCTCTCATTTGTAGATAGATATATAGGCAGAGAAAGAGTGGGAGAGTTCAACTTGCTACAAGCTCACAGGTTACAGTTATGTGCAAGTACTATCTGCCTTATGAGACTTACCTTCTATGTACATTTGCTTAAGCTCCTTGGGGATGTGATAGATACCAGTGTCCTCTCCTTGCCTTCCTTTCTGCGGTCCTGCAGCAGCTGTGAGTCCATTGCCACTTTGAACATCCACCATACCCCTTTCCACTGCCTGAGTCTTCACTGCCTCAGGCTCATCACGGCTAGCTGCTATCTTCTCCTTCACCATATCCGGTTTGCTGTGCAGAACGAAGTTTCCCGTGGTGGTGTTCGCTCCTTTTCCAAAAGCCTTCGTTATCTCACCAATGACAGCAGTCTGCAATTTCCCATCAAATCCGATAGCAATCGCATCTTCTTGCAAACTCACAGCTGCAAGCCGCTCCAGTTGTTGATTCAAAGTGGCAGACAGCAAGACATTCTGTCTTGGCATACATGCACTATGGGCATTGTCTTCCCCTCCAGTCTGTTGCTGCTTGATCAAGCTGGTGATCTCAAGGATCGTCTTTTCAAAACCTAAGTCAAGCAGCCTGCAAGAAGCACAGGCATCCGGTTTCCCAAGTCAACTGATACCATTGATATGGTGTGCCCTGTAAAGTATTACGTCCTTACAACAACGTAATAATAATTAATCACAATTAATATGTTAACAGTTGCAAGGACGAGGTAATGAATAAGGAAGATCCGGCTCTAGGTAATAACAATTAATAAGTTAATAGTAGCAAGGACGAGGTAATGAGCAAGGAAGATACAGCTCAAGGAGATCATGAGGAAATCGGGCAGCCTGACATGAGTGACATGAGCAACACAGAGGTGCTGTATTGAGTGTTCAGGGATAGTAGTTGAATTTCACAGGAACAGGGGTGGAGCAGAGGTGAATCATTCCTACCTAGGAAGCAATCAACGCTGCTGTCTCAGGGTCGTCTCGGCCAAACATAGGGAAGTCCGAAGCGGGTAACTTAAGGGATGTTGGACGGTTTTCAGCAAAACAATAAAACATTGGTCTTTCTCAAAACACGGAAAAAAGAAGGAAAAAGGAAAACACAGACTAGGTTGCATGGTCACAGTTACCCAGAAAAGAGCTCCAATCGACATTTCAAATCAGCACCATAGTCTTGACAATTATGAAACTTTGAATCCCCCCTATGAGGAACAGGCACCATAGCCATACAGCTGTCTATGTCTCCATGTTTAGGGAAGACGACCAAACCAGACCCAGAACCAAAACCAAGAAGGAGGAAAAATGCCAGCTTCAGATGCTGTAGCTTCTTGCTTGGGGTCAGCAAAATGTTGACAGACTCACGCAGACATATGGCAAGACCGTTAAGCTGGCAAAGACTCAAAGCTTGCCCGGAGTCCCATTCTGTTCCAATCAGGACGATTTTTCTTTTTTAAAAGGCCGTATTTCACACCCCTACTGCTCCTCCCTCACCCGCAACACTCCCCGAAATGTCCCAAGGCCCTCAGCTGCCGCTTGCTCTTTCCCTCCAAAAAAGAATGGACAAGTGACCCTTAGTTAACTCTTATTTGTTGCCAGGGCTTATGCCACAAATCAAACTTGTTCGTCATTTCAGGATGAAGATTTCCAGATCACTAAGGATCCCAGAATCCATAGATGTAAAACCAAGGATGGTCCCCAGATGGTCCGGGGACCCCTCCCCGGCTGGGAGCCTCCCGGTTGGACCGGCTGGTGGGCCGCGCCGGTTGGGTCCCGGTCACTTCCAGCACATTTTCGATCGGGGCACAATTTTTTTTTCTTCTGAAGGCCCAGTTTGATCTTGGCAGCCTCGTGGAGGCAGCTGCCGCCCCCCAGTAGCAAAACCGGGTCTTGTAGACCCGTTGTTTTGGAGGAAAAAAAGCGACCGATCTTGGCCGCCGATCGTTGCAGATCCGCGGCCAACGGCCGCTTCTTTGATTCCATTCGGGCAGCAACTCCTGCAGCTGATCAAGTAGGTCGTCAATGCGAGGAAGCGCTTCGGCATTCTTCACAGTGACGACATTCAACCCTCGATAGTCAATACATAGACGCAGTTCACCTTCCTTTTTGGGCACAAACAAGACAGGTGCACCATAGGGAGAGGCCCTTGGGAATCTTGCTACCCGGAGTGATTTCAATAGTGTGTTTGATAGCACGTTCCGTGATTCCAGTGGGTTCAGTCTGCAGATCCTTAAACTCAGAAAGAAGACTTTTGATAGTTGGAGGGCAGGAAGAAGAAGACTCGCCGGCTTTCTTTACCAACACCATCATAACTTCCTGTTCCAACTTCTTCTTTGAAACACTCATACAATAAAAAGACAAACTAGAGTCAAAGTCAGACTTATGATACAACTTAATAGGTTTCACTTCAGATTGTGCATCCTTAAGTTGCACAACCTTGCCTTTGAAATCAATATTTGGGTTGGCTTCCTCGTGCCAGTTCATACCCTAAATGAGATCAAAAGGCAAATTCTTCTCTACTAGGAAGGACAACTCCTGCATAATCTTCTTTCCTTCCCTAGTTCTAAACTGACACTTAATACGATCAACATACTGTGAGACAGTGATCGTACTCTTGTTTGCTAACATAGACGTGATAGGTCGAGAGAAATCTTTCACCTTCATTCCGAGATGCAATCTGCGGATTGCTTTCTCGGAGATGTAGGACCTCGTCGATCCGAGGTCCAACAACGCACCTACTCGTTTTCGTGCAATTTCTACATCAGCAAATAACAATTCGCCCTTAGAGTTTGCTATTCGAGCCCATGAGCTACGAAAGGCTAGCAATTCATTACCTAGCTCATCAAGGGAGTCATCCAGAGAGACAGAACATAAGACAATGTCAGGGCGTTCTGAACGATGGGCTAAGGAAGGATCATCCTCCGCCATAGGAGAAGAAGGGTAGGAAGGGTTCGTTGGCGCCTCACCTTTCTGTTCGTCCTTACCCTTTATCTTTGTAGGAGCAGATGCTACTCGTACTAGCTGCTTGACAGCAGGTAGCATGAACTCAATTGACATTAACATAATAAGGATATTCTTTCTATTTAAAAAGATTCCCCAAATACCTAAAAGGAAAAGAATCATTGAAAATGTTAAATATTTCACTAAATCCCTAGGTTGTTTTATCGAACGTCCGGGACCCCCCTGACCGTCTGGGATGTCCGACCAGAAGTCTAGTCGAACGTCGGACCGGACAGGGGATGTCCGACCTAGCGCGGAAAAAAAAAAAAAAAATGAAAAAAATCATGTGACTTTTACCTTGCATAAGGTGTATGCAACCAAATTTTTGGCTCATTTGAGCCAGTAGAAAAAAAGATAAAAATCTTCAAAGTTTCTAATCCCCACCTATACCCCTCCTATCCCCACCAAAACCCCCCGTACCCCCCCCCCCCCCCCCCCCCACCCCCCCACCCCCCCAAACCCCAAACATCTCTTTTTTTTTTTTTAGGCGGTTTTTAAGCAATACGTGAAAAGGTGTTATTTTTTTTTTTTTTTTTTTTTTTAATGCCAAAAAGTGGTTGTCCGGTGTCGGCCCGAACACCCTTACAAGGGTATTTGGGCACGTATTTGCAGCTTACAGGAAGAACGCGCCTGACGATATCTGGGGGCGCGTCCCATTTGTGTTGATTAGAGAATGTGTGAGTGTGCACTTTGTCGGCACGCACTAGCCTGACCGAGCCTGGGTCGAGGAAGTCCATGCGACGCCGATAGAACAAGTGAGAGTTAAACTAAAGTTTTTGAGGCGGTCGCAGCCTCGCGCGCACGGGAGAAGTCACAAGCGGCATCGCGTTGACCAGGTAGGACTGTGACAAGAGAAGAATGTCGCCTGACTTGCTGGGGACCGGCGTATCAAGGTCGCACCACGTAAAGTTACGTGGGCACTAGGATGACTCTGCATCGAGGATAGTAGAAGTCGCCGCGGATGCCAAGCAAGAATGGCACAAAGTAGAGCAACGGGCGGGGTTTTCTCGGCAGAGAGGCGGTAAAAAGGCGTCGTGGCAGGCTATGAGAAGCTCGACCCGCAGCCCTACCATGGTTGAGCAGGCGCGTGTGGTAGGCCATGTGAAGGAGAAGGAACCCGTTGGAAATCCGATAATGGCTAGCCGGCGGGTGATCCGATGAAAGCTCTGCGTAAAGCGTGGCGTAGGTCGGATCGGACTTGTAGCCTTTGACGAAATGCGGCTGCAGATCGTCATCGAGGTCGAATGTCGTGATCACAATGGCACAAAAGTCGGGCCGTCGTGAGAGGGTTCCGCAGCTCGATTGGCGGGACCGGGAATGTGGCACGGGTCAAAGTCGAATTGGTCGATGTAATACATTCATTGACCGATCGTGCTAGTGACCGTTTCCTGCGTTTTATAAAAGGTCAACGGATTGTTGTCCGTATTCCATTTAAAACGCCGACGACCGAGAAGAAAGTGGCGCCACCGTTTGAGAACGGTGACGAACGCGAGTAGCTTTTTCTTCCTAGCGTCGTCGAGAGTGTTGACAAGAGGCACCTTTTGGGAGAAATACTCGACCGGATGCCAACCGTCCTCGTGACACTGTTCCAACACCGCACCAATACCGTATCCTGAAGCGTCCATAGTCACTTGGGTGGGAAGGGTGGGGTCGTATATACGGAGGGCAGGTGCAGCTTGCATTGCTGCCTTCAACGTAGTGAATGCGCCACGGGCTGCGTCGTCGAACTCGAACGGCACCTTCGGGGACTGAAGTCTCGACAAAGGAGTGGCCAACTTCGAGTATGATTCGACGAATCGCTGATAATATCCAGCCAAACCCATGAAAGAGCGTACATTCGTCGTGCAACGGGGTTCCGGCCAATGCACGATGGCTTGGACCGCTAAGGGACGAATGCCTTTCGGCGTGACATAGTGACCCAAGTACTCAAGCTCCTGCTTGGCGAACTCGCACTTGTCGAGATTCGCTTTGTAGTTGGCCACTCGCAAACGATCCAAAACAGCGCGAAGGTGTACGATATGCTCGTCCAACGTCCTACTGTAAACCAAGATGTCATCGAGGTAGATGAGGACGCTGCGATCGAGCAAGTCGCGAAACTCCGTCGTCATAGCTGCTTGGAAAGTCGCGAGGGCATTGGTGAGGCCAAATGGCATGACAACCCACTCAAAATGCCCGTACCGCGTCTTGAACGCGGTTTTGTACCGATCTTGAGGCTGGATTTCAATCTGGTGGTAACCTGACTTCAAGTCCAACTTCGAGAAGTACGTGGTGCCGCCTAACCGCTCAAGGAGATCATCAATCCGAGGGAGAGGGTCGGCGTTCTTTACGGTTTGTGCGTTAAGTTTGCGATAATCAATGCATAACCGTAGATCTTTGTTCTTCTTCCGGACGAAGAGAACAGGGGCACCGTAAGGCGAACAACTACGACGAATCCAGCCCTTGTCGAGAAGGTCATCGAGTTGTGCGCGAAGCACCTCGAGTTCCTCTTCGCTCAAGCGGTAGATACATCCACGCGGAGGGATGGCACCAGCCTCGAGAGTGATCCCGTGATGTATGGGCCGATCCGGAACCGTTCCGGTGGGAGCCTCGAAGACGTCTCTATACTCGTCCAAGAGGTGAGAAATGTGTGGGTCCGGTGGTGACGGGGCTGGTCCGTCCGACGAGGGGAGAGCATGCAAGAATACAAGGCCCATCTCCTCGACGTCATTATGAGCTATGGCGTCGCGAATTCTCGCAACGGCAACCACGTGACAAGCAATCGAAGTGTGAGGGGTCGTGGCCGTACATGGGACTAACACTCCGTTCCCATCACGGATGTGAACAGTCCGGCCGTGGAAGTTCACCGGATGATCGGCGCTACGCAACCAAGACATGCCTAGAATCATGTCGAACTTGGTGTCGAGGATGTCAAAAGATACCGGCTCGCACGCAAGTGGCGCAAAGTATACAGGAACGCCGTCAACGCATCGGTCGAATGACTTTTGCATGCGGCCGTCTGCGAGTGTAACTTGCGTAGGTTGCGTCTTYCTTCGAACGCGCGGGCCAAGGCCTGCACGGGCCATAAAGGCTTGGCTCATAAAGTTGCGAGACGCTCCACAATCAATCAAGGCACTACAGGTTGCCTCTCCGATTTGAATGCGGATATAGAGCAAAGGTGCGTCGGTTTCGGCGTACCTTTGGGTGGCGTACTCGCGGTCAATCTTCGTAAGATAGGAGCGGAGGTCGACAACCGCTACCCCGTCGTCCGTCAACAGAGCTGGTACCGTAGCGTGCAAATAGGAGCGTAGATTTGCCATCAAGGCGTTGCAATGCGGCCTTGGCAAGGTTCCGGTTGAGGGTAGAAGCATCCAAGCGAAGTCCTCTTTCGTGAGTGGGTCAAGCTCCTCAAGTCTTGACCACGCCGTCGAGTCCTCGGAAATCAGTGGCGAGCTGACCGGATCACTTGCCGACGGTGTACAGGCTTCGCATACGCAATCTAAGTGCACGTGGCTCGGCTGGTCTAATGGTGGTACCAGCTGGGCGGCATAATCCTCGTACGTAGCACAAGAATCAGCGACTAACGCATGCTCCCCGGTATACGCAATCTAAGTGCACGTGGCTTGGCTGGTCTAGTGGTGGCACCAGTTGGGCGGCATAATCCTCGTACGTAGCACGAGAATCAGCGACTAACGCATGCTCCCCGGTAATGACATCGATTGCTAGCAAGGCAACCGGTTCCGGCGGAGTGAGGAGAGACGTCGCCTCTCTCCTTGCGCAACTCAGTTTCCCGAGTTCGCTGGACGGGGTACACGTGCCTTGCCCTTTTCGGGGCATTGTGCGGTCAAGTGAGTGACACCATTGCACCAAAGGCAATATCCGTACCGTTGACGAAGGTCATATACTTCCTTGGTTATCTTGTATGCCGTCCATGGTTCCTGCCCAGTTCCTGTCGATGTCATCGCGTCTGTCGCCTTGTTCTTCCGAACTCTCTTGGGACGCTTCGGCGGGAGCGATGCAAGAACTCCTCCATCACCCGAGGATGCTTCTGCAGCGTGGAGATCGACTGATTCATCATGAATCACGACATTGTTATGTGTCGGTCGTTGATAGCCCTGCTTAGCCACATAGTGCGGCTGGGACTGCTTTTCGCTGGCGGCCTTGTTGTCCGTTTGGATGACCAGGTTCGCACGATCCAGAATAGCCTGGAATGAGGCGTAATCGTACTCATTGCCGAGTGCGATTCGCAGTCCTGCGCACGATCGCGAGAAGAACTCGGATCGTTGGTTTGTAAAGCTCAAATCGAAGCCTGGCGTGGTCACTATCTTCTGCCACGTAATCGTCCAGGCTCGAGTTGGCATACTTCCCTGTGAGCAAGTGTAGACCTCGTTCATGGCCGCCTTCACAATGTTGCGGACCATGAATCGAGTGAACCACAGCTGTTCAAAATCCTCCCACGTGATGTGTTTGTGTAGCTCGGCGATAGTGGTTTTCTTGTTAACTGCGAGGTGGTTCATCCACGCCTGCGCACCTCCAATGAGTTGGAGGTATAGTGCCTTCATCATGTCTTCGGCTGGGACCTTGTGGCAGGACGCTTCCGTGAGGAAGGCTTGCCACCATGTCGAAGTGTCGGTCTTGTTGTAGTCCTCAAACTTGCCGATGTTGAAGCGTGGCATCTTGTATACCTTCGCAGCTGCTGCCGGTTGCGACTGCAGCTTGGCGATATCCGTCTTGATGGCGGCCACCGTGCTGCTGATCGTAGCCGGACTGGTGAAATCCCCTAGTTCGCCGATTAGACTGACGACATGGTCGATGCGCTCGTTGAGCTGTTTCGTCGTGTCAATCGTGCAGCCTGGCGCTGCTGAGGCTTGAGCCTCAATGCTGTTGATTCGTGCGAGACCGGAGGTCAACAGCTGATGCTGTTGCTGCTGCTGTATTGCTGCTGCGCGGACGGCAGCTGCTAAAGCGGCAGTATCTTGCTGCTGCTTCTGTCTGTGTTGTCGTTCCGTAAGCAGGTGTGCCTGCAGCAGTTTGTTGTTCCACATTACTCCCCTCATCACGCTCAACATCAAGTTAGCCAGGTTACTTCTCTCTGCCTCCGCCGGTGTCGGATCCGCCTGCGCGTCCGTAGGCACAAAGATCATGCCTTGGAGTAGAGTTGTCCACTGATTCTCACTTTGAATCAGGGACTCCGTGCTGGCGGCATTCCGTCTGTCTCGTGCCGCTGCATCAGCCTCAGCAGTTCGCTGAGTTTGGGCTGCCACCTCATTGGCCAGCCGCTGACGTTCTGCCTCTGGTGCCTCCTGCTGTGCCTTAGCGGTAGCTACGGCATCTGTAAATGCCTGTACCCACTGGAGGTAAGCAGACAACGGCTCACTGGCCCCTTGGACCGGACATGCGGGAAGAGCCCCGGTGGTAACTGGTACGGCCGTAGCTGTACTTGATGCCGCTGGAGTCGTCGGCCTGCTGAGTCGCTGTTGCTGATACTTAGACCGTGGAGGTACCACAGAACGGCTACGAACTGCGAGCCTGGCACTGCGCCGTGGCAGTGCCCCGGTGTCCTGTTCCGTCGACATCAGCACAAGCTGATGTGGTACTTTAGAAGTCCCGGTGGCCACAGATTACGGGGAGGGTAGGGAGAGTGGGAACAGGGATAGAACAATCAAACAATTCGCATACAGTCCCTGTCCCAATGATGGACTTAGACACCTAATCCAAAATAGGAAAAGAAAATAGCCTTCCCAACACAACTTAAAAATTCGTAATAAGAAATAATAATGAATTACTAATCAATAATATTTGAATTAAACGGTTAATAACGAATTAATATTGCTTAATAATCAATAAAACAATAATGCAATAATGATAATTACCGAATTTAAATTGTGACAAGATTTGGTATCCGTTGAGATCATCTATAGTCTGGGAGTTCACCGTTGAATAGTGAACTAGCCGGAAGTTGCGATTCTGGGGGCAAAATTACGAACAGTTTGCCAAAAAACAATTTCGGAAATTTAGGAAGAAAACACTCAAATTTTCGAAAAACGTAAAATTTCGGGAATTTCACCCTACAAAATCCGATTTTTAAAGGCCTAAGTCCGTTTTCGGAATTTTTCAAACTAGGGAAAGAAAAAAAAATTCGCGAAAATTTCAGAGTCCAACCCTTATTTTCCGCGATTCCGTGGAATTTCCGGTTTTACAGTTCCAAAACATTCAAATTTCCCAACTTGATCAAAATCCGAAATTTATCGTAACCCTAATTCCTAATACCGAAATAAAACGGAAATACTGATGTAGAAAACGAAATACAGGATTTAAAACAGAATGCCGAATAAAAAACGGAATACCAAATTGAAATCAGGATGCCGAATTAAACAGAACACTGATTTAAACAGAACACTGATTTAAACCTAATAACGAATTAGAATCAGAAATCCGAAGTAAAGCAGAATATCAGAACCTGATTTAAACAGAATACCGGATTAAAACAGAAATCCAAAATTGAAAGTCCGAATACTGAATTGAAACGGAATGGCGAATTAAACAGAATACCGAAAAAAAAAATAATAATAAAAAATTCGCAACTTTGAATCTCGATAGTATTTCAGAGCTGATTTGGAAGATCGAAGAAGCAATCTATTCCTAAATCAGCCTTACCTTGTGAGCAGATCCGTTAAATGGTCTGCTCCGATACCAAAACTGTTACATACTTCAAAGAGTATGAGCAGAACCAAAGATCAACCAATATAGGATGAGCCTATATGCAGCGGAAGTCTGATAAATGGACTGACTCACATAGACTGACTCACACAGATATCACTCCGCACACAAACAATCGTGAGATGGTGGGGTCTGGGCCAAGCATAGACGATGCCCAGATCCCGTACACACATACACAGATGAAAGGTGGGAGGAGAGACGAAGGAGGTGGGAGATGTAGGTAGCGCCAGATGTCACCGAGATAGAATCCAGTAGGTCACCGATATGGTAATCCAAAATGTCATCGAACAAGATCAAATGTCGTGGACAATAAGTCACCAATATCGGAGGTACAGAGTCCCAATGTAACCAGTGTCCAATCTGTGATGCTGCCGAGTATCAACCCCAACAATCTCCAAGTCTCGAATCCGGTAAGTACCACAGCCTCTTACCACCGAAGTCCAACACTGATCTCTGTCCAACTAGTGTCAAGTATCCAGTCTGAAGAAGAAGTCTGAATGAGAAGAAGAAGAAGAAGAAGAAGAAGAAGAAGAAGAAGAAGAAGAAGGAGAGATGGCAGAGGAGGAGGAGAAACCCCTCGCCTCCTGGTACCTGGCAGTGCTGCAGTCCAACTGCAGGTCGCGGCTATGGCCGCCGTGCTGCTGGTGGCTGCTGCCTCGCTCCTTGCTCACTGCCGCTGCTGCGCTAGCTCGCTCTGCTGCTGCTGCTCCGTGCTGCGCTAAGAATAGCGCTGGCGCTGCTCCTGCTGCTGAACCGATATCACTGGCGCTCGAGCAGCGTCCCAGTGTTCGATGCCTCAGAATGAGGCTGAACCGGTGTTAAGTACCGGTGGGGCCGAGGCCGGCCTCAATGCTGCAAGGCCTGGCCGTGACCTGAACCGTCAAGATTGACGGCTCAGATCCGATCGGCGGGCGGCAGCCTCAAAGGCGCCGCCAGGCCCAAAATGAGAATGTCGTTTGGGCCTGCCCGTTGGTCTGGTCCAAAAGTCTGGCCTTTCGGCCTGCTGTACCCCCAAGTCTGGGCCTTTAGGCCCTACTGTGTCCCTCTGGCCCTAAGTCGGGTCTGGTAGGACCCGTGTGGCGTCGAAGATGTAACACAAACCATCCATAAACAAAAGAAGTACAGATGAGCAATATAATAGAAGGTGCAAGGCTCCCCACGTTTGTGTGGTTGAGCGGGAAGTGCCCACACAAGGGCAGAAGACAACATACCTAACACAGAAGGCTCCACCAACAAGAAAGCACGGACCAGAGGCAGCATAGTCCAAAAAAACTTGGAGAGCCCTCCCAGTCAGCCCTCAAGCACAGCTGCACTGGCACTCCTATTCCTCCCAAACAACACACTCACATTACCACTATCTCTATCACTCCATGGCTACACAGTCCCCATCTGCTGTCTAGCCTCTGGAGTGTATAGAG